AAAGAAGGATTGATGATGGAAAAATTAAAGAACCAACCTCAAGGGATGAGAGGACACAAAAAACAAAGAGGGGAGGGCATGAGAGGGATGATGAACCCATAAATAAGCCTTGCAATGAGAAAATAAGCATATTAATCACGAACCTTGCATCAATACAATGCAAAATCATGGTTAGATGGCCGAAAATATGTTTTCGCAAGGGTGTGGAGAGTTTTCAAAAGGTTTAGGTGCATCTAGAGTAAAAATGATTTAGTTCAGGAATTTGATTTTAAAACATAATACTTAATTATCATTTCAAAAAAACTGACGCTTATTCTAAAATAACGATCAAGTATATTCCTAACATATTTGATGGTTTTTACAGAACAAGCATCAAATATATATTTTTTTAAAAAAAAATCTTTTTAACATTATGTACTTAACATTTGTTTAAAAAAAATCTTCAAGTATATCTAGTTTACATTTGACAGTTATTTTAAAACAAGTGTCAAATATATATATATATATATATATATTACACATTTGAGATTATTTACAAATAACTGTCAATTATATGTTAAATTATTTGATGATTGTTTAAAACAACCGTCAAGTACGTTCCGCTTTTTTTAATTATTACTTATTTTAAATAAACATGAAGTATGGAACAATTTATTTACATAATTATGTGGCAGTGATGCATCTTCTAGTATAATAAATAGCAGGGAAAATTTTAAGTGAGGACTCTTGATCCAAGATAATGAAAAAGAGGACCCTAAAATTTTTAAAATTTCACTAAAGGACTCTTATGGAATTTCATTTAAATTTATGATGAAAATGACAAAATTGTCCTATTTAAATGAACAACATAAATGATTTATTTATTTCTATACTGTATGTTATTCATTTATTTATAGATTATTCTTCATTTCCCTACTTCACTTGTTTATAATCCTACTTTCACTTGATTTCATTCCAATGCCACAAACAAATGATGTAGGAAAACAAACAACATTCCGTAAGTAAATGAATAATATACAGTATGAGAATGAATAAATTATCTTATCATAAAATTAACACTTGGAATGAAATTAAATAAAACTAGGGCTATAAACAAGTGAAGTAAGGAAATGAATAACATTTCATAAATAAATGAATAATATATAGTATAGAAATGAACAAATTATTTATATTATTTATTTAAATGAAGATAATTTTATCATTTCTGTCATAAATTTAAAAGAAATTTCGTACAGATCCTTTAGTTAAATTTCAAAAATTTTGATGTTCTCTTTTTCAGAATTAAGGGTCCCACCAGAATGTTTCCCTAAGCAGCATCTCTTTCGACTTGTGTCACGAGAGTCACAGTTTCGCATGTTCTTTACCCGTGAAACCGATGACTTGATCGACCTCATCCTGCATTCTGTGTTTTTGGATAATAATGCGATTTTTCTAAGAAATGAAATGTAATTGATGTATCGGTTTTAGACTGTCAGGCTTTAAATTCTATAACGGTCCGTGCACGTGCAAGGCCACTAGCTAGTATCGTTGTTAGGCTTGTACAGAGGCAGTGTCGACACCTAGTTTCACTTTGTCGTTTCCAATACCCGCAAGCTAGCTTTGACATTGAATATTTAGCTAAATGACACTAGAATGTAATAAAAGAAAAAAGTGTTTATTACAAACACGCTCATCTTTGGTCCTTGTTTAGTTTTTTTAGAAAAATTTCAGGTAGAGACCCTTGACTTAAGATAATGATTAAAAAAAAAAGGCTCCAAAATTTTTGAAATTTAATTGAAGGATTTATATGAAATTTCTATTCAAATTTGTGATAGAAATGATAAAATTATCCCTCTTTAAATGAATAACACAAATAATTTGTTTGATCTCATACTGTATGTTGTTCGTTTACTTACTAAATATTGTTTATTTTTTTATTTCACTTATTTATAGCTCTAGTTTCACTTAATTTCATTTCAAGGGTTAATTTTATGATAATACAACTTGTTCATTCCAATATTATATGTCGTTGATTTACTTACAGAACATGTTCATTTCACTACTTCATTTATTTATGGCTCTAAAATAAAATCAAGTGAAAACATGACTATAAATAAATAAAGTGAGAAAGCGAATGACATTTCATAAGTAAATGAATGACATACAGTATGAAAATAAATAAATTATTTATGTTGTTCATTTAAATGAGAGTAATTTTATTATTTCTATCACAAATTCAAATGAAATTCCATACTAATCTTTCAATGAAATTTTAAAAATTTATGAGCCCTCTTTTTCATTTTAGAAATTCCGTACGGGTCAAGAGTCTTTCACTGAAATTTTTCTTCTTTTTTTTTTCAAAGTAAATTACTTGTGCCTGGTTTTGATCAACAAGTTAACATATTAGGCAACTGTAGTTGCAAGTCTTAAAACCTGATAATTTAATATTATTTTCAACAAGTTGACATGCTAGTTGGACTTCTATTTTAACTGGCTTGAAAAATTGAACGAGGCAGACAGAAAAGTCGACGTCAAAGACAAAGAGCCACAAGGACCACAGGCTAATTGCTATTGCCAATGAGAAAGCAATCTGAATTTAATTTTCTCTTCATAATTATTGCTTTAAAAGAGAGAGATTGTGATACAAGAAAATTTGTCATATACGTATGGAATATAATGTCATAATTATAAGGGTGATAAGGCAAAATTATCTCATAACTTTTTTACGAGAAGCATATGATATTGTTAATTTTTTGTTGCGACGATGCCTCCTTTTCTTTAAAATCAGTGCAATATCACAATGACATGGTTGTTGACCGTTATTTAACTAACACATACTCCCTCCATTTAAAAATATAAAAAAATTTTAATCAAGTCTCATTCTTAATAAAGTAGTTATTTATACTTTCAAACTAACCCTATCTTTTTATATTTATTCACATTAATAAATACCCTATAATAAATATAAACTCAGTCATTAATAAGAGTACTTTTAAAAAAAAGATAATAATTACATTTTAAAAGATTAAAAATATTTTATATTTTTTAACGAAGGGAGTACCAATATTTTAAACAATTAACACAATAGAGATTTTGTATTAACAATAATAATTACAAATAAAAAATTAAGTATTTTAGAATTGCTAACAAATATTCCTAACAGTTTTAACAATTGAATCAATGGTTAAGTTTTGAAAATAGAAGAAAAATCTCTATAATTTAAGGAAAATAGAATGGAGGTCACTATATTTTACTCTTAATTTTAACACAATGTTGAGTGGGCTTGGGGTACAAGTGGGCCATGGGTCCACTTGCCCCAAGCTCATCATCATTTCTTTTAAATTAAAGAATCCTTGTATTTTATTTTATTTTATTTTTAAATACCTCATTTTAATTATTTTTATAATATCTCTATCTTTTTCATCAGGAATTTGACCCCACAAAAATTCTGAAATTCTCTCTTACTATTATGTCTATTTTATTTATTTTTTAAACATAGCTCAAATACTTAAAATTTAAACCCTTTTAATTAAATTATCTTTACCGAAATAATCCTACACTTGGTACTCAATATATTCTCAAATTATTCTGCAAAAATATGTTTTAGGAGAAACAACAAAATTGCCCTTAGTGAAAAAAGGCAACAAGTACAAGATCAAATTTTTACAACTACATGTTCACAAATTCATAAATTTATATTTATATATTAACAAGTAATTTTTTATTAGAGGTAAAATTTTTATTTAGGGTTGACATGTTCATCTTGATTAACTTAATAAATTTACAACTTAAAGTTTGAATATTTATAAATATATTTTCATTTATTCACAAGTCAAAATCCAGAATTTATGACTTCAGATATTCATAACTAAGATTTATCATGATAGTAAATTTAGATTTTACAACTATATATTTACCAAGTCACATTTTTAGGTTCATTAACAAGTAACTATTCATTGGTGGTGAAATTCTTGTTCAAGGTTGACAAGTTCGTCTTGGCGGCTAACTTAAAAATTTATAACATAAAGTTTAAATATTCACAAGTACAACTTTATCTACTCATAAATTAAAGTGTAAAATTTTTGATTTCATATATTTAGAACTACAATTAATCACGAAATAAGTTTAAATTTTTATAACTAGATGTTCATAAATTCATATTTATATTCATGTATTAATAAGTAATTGTCCATTCTTAATAAATCTAAGGTTCTTTATTTCTCACTAAGAGAAATTATATATTTGCAAAAAAAAAAAATCCTTGGGCCTGTAGAATAATTTCAAAGTGTATTGGGCTTCAAAGTGAAATTTTTTTCTCCTTTAAGTGCCCTAGATGAAATTCTCCCTTTATTTTATGATCTTAACTATATATGCTATGGGGAAAAAAAAAAAAGAACAGAAAGAAAAAAGAAAAATTTTTATTGAAGATCCCTAGACTAGAGATAATAAAAAGAGAATCCTTAAATTTTTGAAAATTCATTACAAGTTTAGAGTACTAAATGGAAATTAAAATTTTTAAAAAAATGACAAGATAGTCCTTATTAAAAGAGAAAAGAAATTTAATTTAAAAAATGAACTATAAATAAGTAGGGTTATAAACAAATGAAGTAACGCAATGAACAATAGTTTGAAGGGTAATGAACAACATATACTTAGGACATGAACAAGTTGTGTTAATATGAAAGTAAAACTTGAAATTAATTCAAATGAAAGTGTTGTAATGAATAAATAAAGTAAGGTAATGAACAACACTCTAAAAGATAATGAACTACATGCAATAAAGATACAAATAAATTATGTTAACATGAAAGCAACAGTTGAAATTAATTTAAGTGAAAGTATTGTAATGAATAAGTGAACTAGAGCAATAAACAATAATTTAAAGAGTAATGAACCACATAAAATTAAGATACAAACAAATCATACTAACATAATGAACAACAGTCTAACGAATAATAAACAATATACAACAGAGATAAGAACAAGATTGCTACAGAATTTTAACAGAGATAATCTTATCATGTTTTGAAGAATTTTAATTTCAATTTAGTATTCTGAACTTGTAATGAAGTTTCAGAAATTTAAGGAATTTTTTTAATTATTTCTGGCAAATTTTCCCAAGAAAAAATCGTCAGATAACAAAATTCCTGTTTACGTGTCTCTGTTACTGACACGTTTCAACACAACATTTCTAGTCAAAGATTCTAATTTTCAAGAACTACTCGCAGAACCCGGAAGATTTATCGTCACTTTATTTGACTTCTAAGCCGGCTCAAATCGATCTTTTGCAACTTGTGCAAGAAACAGCCGAACTGGTTCTCACCTCCATCATCAAACTATTATACATAAGGCTTGATTTCTGTAACTTTTGCTAGCTGAAGGACGCAAACACAACTACGACTTGCAATCTTATAGCTGACATAAATCATCAAACTTATTCGTTCCAAGGCTATGAATAATGCAGATCGAAGCCTTTTGCTTCTTCTTTTTGCTGCTGCGTTCACTTCCATTCTCCTTCTCAATTGCTTCACAGAAGCTGCAGCTGATAGCAGTAATGGAATCAATTTTGATGTTGGTGCAATTCTTGATGTTGATTCTCCATCTGGAAAACAACAGAAAGCAGCCATGGAAATTGCAGCCCAAAACTTCAATAACCATTCAAAGAGTCTCAACATATCCCTCCATTTTCGTCACTCTCTAAGAAATCCATTGCAGGCGGCTTCAGCTGGTCAGTATTATATAGTTTTTATTTATATTTATCTTTTTAATGAGTGTCAAAATTCTTTACATTAAGTAGTATGTTTGAGAATAATTGCTGATGCCTTAATTAGTTGTCTCAACACTCAATTAAACTAATTTGATTTAATATAGCATATGCTAATTTTAGGTCATTATTCTTTCTAGAAAACAATTTAGAGGTTATATAAACATAAATTACAGCAACAAATTCAACATAGATTCAATTTAAATATAAATTCAAAATTCAAAATATCTACAACCAGAACTAAATTACATTTAAGTATTATAACTTAAAATGATTAAATAATTTTAAGCTCCTGACTTGAAAAGATAAATGAAAAATTGCTCTTATGTCCTATTCAAGTGAATCATCTTCCTTCAAGCTTATTGTGAGTCACGGCCATGGGGAATAATGGAAAATGGATGAAATTTTGATGTGTGAAGGTGTGCGAAAATGGGATGGGAAATGGAAGAAAGGACAAGAAATTGATGAATGATTGGATAAGGGTTCACGTGGCTGATGGTGGATAAATGGACATTGATGAATGAGTGGATAAGGAAACCGTGTGGTGTGCGCGCGTGAAATAAACAAATGGAGTGAGGAAATGAGATGGATGAATGAATGGTCCCACCGAACCAACCAATACTGCTAGAAGAAAAGTTAAATCAAATCTTATTTATAATTAATTTTAATTAATTTATATTGATTTGATTCGGTTTGATTTGATATAAAATTTTTATTGGTTCTGAACCCTCTTCATGAAAAGAGAGAAATTTATCGTTGACCAGAATGGTTTTGTCGTGGGTGTGGTCAATGAAAGATGAAGGGAAAAAAACTTATCAGTTACTCCTTCTGTCTTTTACATATAAAAATTTTTTTTATTTATTTTTAAGTATAAAATATTATTAGCATATTTTTAATAAATAAATTCTTATATCTTTATTCAATTAAAAAATTAAATATTTTTATTAATTTATTTTAAAAAAAATTTATTTTTTATTTACAATAATTAAAAATAAAATTAAAATCTTGCCTGCTTTTAATTAAATAATTAAAAGAAATATCCTAAAAAAACTAAAGCTCCCTCCCTCCCTATGTTTTGGCTGAATGCGAAAGGAAGAGATGGATTTTTTTTTTGGGGGGGGGGGGGAATCTAATGACAAGAAGAAAATGTAGGAAATTAAAAAAAAAATTCAACCATTAAATTCAAAAAAATGCCAATAAAAAAGTAGATAAAAAAGAAAAGACAAATTTCCTTAATTTTTCTTTGCCATGATTTAACATAGTATGTTTAATGAATTAAAAAGTACCTTTCAAAGTTTTAACTATTAAATGTCTTTTGAAATCTAAAAATTAATCTTTACCATCAAATTTTATTAATTGTACTTCTATAACTTGAAAAATCAAATGAACCTATTTGTGTAAATTATGTTCAAAATAAATTCATGTCTCATGAAATATTTTCATATTAATTTTTTCAATAATTATCATTTTGCCACAAAATGGCCAAAAACTCAAATAATAATCAAATTAAGCTCAAAATAAATACCACATCATCAATTTATAGATTGACAAAATTAAACCATATTAAAAATAGGAACATAAATATTAACAATTTAAGCTCAAAATTCTCATAATTATTGCAAAAATATATTATTCATTAAAGTTAGCTAATAATCCCAAATAATATATAACAAACCCAAATTAGCCCAAAATTATCATTAGAATGCATGAAAAATATGGGATAAAATATATAAAAAATTATGAATGATCAATAATCTATTTCACCAAAATAATTAAAATTATTTAGTTAGACACATCTCAAATTTTATAAATTCTTAGTTTATTTTCTAATTATTAGATATAATACTACTTTATCTCTAATATTCCTTTACTACTTTTTTTTCTTTTTCTTGTTTTAGTTTATACTTTTGTTTTTGGTAGCCTTATGTCACGCCTGAAAAAATAGAAGATAACTGACATGAGATGTGAATCATATCACACATCTTTTAAGTTATAATTGAGAAATCTTTTTCATTTTAAAATATAATTAAATTTGTACTAAAATTATGATGTACATAATAATAATTATTATAAAAAAAACTTTAATATTTTTATAAAAATTTCAACAAAACCTTCCCTATAAATAGAACCTCCTGCAAAGTCTACAATACAATATTTAATTAAAACATAAAGTAATTTAAGAACTCAGCTCCTTCCAACTAACAAATACTGTATACAACAAAATGAAAACCTTAACTATAGATTGCAAAAAACACATAACCTTACTTCGAAACTAAAATACACGAGCTCAAATATTTACATCAAAAGGAGATAATGATAAGCAAAATTTCACCCAAACAGTTGCATACCCTTAGTGGTCAATAGTAGGATCGGCATTACCTAATGAATTTGAGACTAAAATAAATTTTCAATGAATAGCATCCCAAAAATAAAATTTAAAAGAGTAAAAATAATAAACTTAAACAAATATGTAGAATAATTGAAAAGATAATAATTTAATATAATAAACCATTGAAATTTTGAATACATAAGTTAATCAAATTTAGAATTGTTATAAGTAAATTAATTGAAATGCTATTCATTTACATGTCGGAGTTTTAAATTCTTAAAAATAGTCTTCCTTTAATTCTACCATGGTCTTGTTCTTTCACACACCCTATGAGGATATGAATAAATAAAATTTTAATAGATTTTCAATTTTTTTACACAATTCCTATCATCATTTAAATTTCTAAAATCAAAATTCATGCTTTAGAGTTGGTCCAAGTATTATATTTATATCAATACTCTCTTCCACATCACTTTAGCAATGCCAATCTACTTCCTTGAGACATAATTTTCTCTTTGGCTATATACCAAACATTTTTGGTACATTATTTCCAACCATTCCATTAAAATATCCAACAACCTACTAATAACCATACAATTCCCAAAAATTTAAATAATTATATACAAATTCATAATCAAATCCTTTTGCAATCTACAACTCAATTCATAAATCATTAACTTCCATGCTAACAAACTTCTCACAAAGACTAATGAAATTTAAAAATGTAAAATTAAGCATAATTCTTCTAATAGACATTTTATCAAACACTTTGTGAGCATTAACTAAGAAACTAATATTAACCTTTTCTTTTTAAATTTCAACTTCCCTAAAACCTTACAATATTAATAATCCAATCATTTATAATTAAAACTCAAATCCACATACCATCATCTCCTTCTTTTTATTACTATAAATTTCAACTTAAATTAAGTTTCCCCTCCTAAACAAGTATAATCAGTCACGGACAACAGCAAAAAAGGAGAACCATTTTTTTTTTTCAACTTCAATCACCAACCAATGCAAACAAAATTTATGTAACTCCAAAATTATGACCCACATGCATATCATTATCACGCTTCAAAATAATTTTTCAACACAAATTTGAATTTTTTTTCCTCCTCCCTACACAACACGACAGCAGCAGAAAGTAAAAGAGAAATTTGAAACTTCAACAATGCTACATCACACCTCATACGCACTAGTTAATCAAGGGGAGAAGAAGAGATCAAAGCAGCTCATTTTCAAACGAACCAAAGATGCACGGAGAGGGAGAAGAAACAGAACCTCAACTGAACAGGGAGAAGGATTTTCAGTAACGGTCCTCCAACGGGCAACCCAAACTCTTGCGTGCTCCACTTCCCATAACAGACTTATAACACAGCAACGAAAACAGGAGGGAACAAGAAGCATTACGGCGTGAACCCATGGAAAACGAGTAGAGAAAATAACGAAAAATCAGGGAAAGAACTCACGACAGTGGCTGGCTAAATGGCAGCAGACTCGCCGGCGACAGTGCCTCAAGCGAACGACGGCGCGATCGGTAACTAGAAGGAAGACGGCAGAAATCTATAGATGATATGGCCAGGGTTTGATACTCCGCTCTCCAACTCTCTCTCTCTCCCCCTCGCTCTCACAACGCACGAAAAAGACAAGAAAGGAGAGAAAAATCTGGGGAGATAAAGGCGTTTTGGTAATTTCATCAATTATAAAATCAAATTACAACAAGCCCCTTGTGCCATGGTCAGATTCGAATTTGGGCCCTCATATAATTACACAACTACCACCACGTCAACTTTCCTTTTTATTTTATTTATCTCAAGAATTAATATAATTACAAGTAAAAATATTATTACAAAATTCATGGCTTTTAACACCTTAGATCCATAATTTTCATTTCTTTTCCTCTCTCACTCTCTCTCTTCTCTCTTTTTTTAATCTCTTGTTTTTTTTTCTTCTTTTTTTTTTCAATAAACTGCTTTTTCTCTTCTTTTTTCCTAGTTTTTTCTTATGTTTTTTTATTATTTTTTCTCTATTTTCCGTTGTTCATGTCCCTAGATTGGATGACTCTCAATACCAATGCAAAATTCTTACCAAAATAGCTTAACTTATAGTTAGACATATCTCAAATTTTATATATTTCTAATCTACTTTCAAATTATTACATGTGAGACTACTTTATCTCTAATAATGCATGATTTAATCACCTGTAATTACTTTGTTTTCCAGCTGAGGAGCTTATAAACAAGACGAAAGTGAAAGTTATAATTGGAATGGAGGCCTGGCAGGAAGCATCTTTTGTAGCCGATCTTGGAGACAAAGCTCACGTTCCAGTAATTTCATTCTCACCTCCTTCAATATCTTCACCATCTTCATCAATTCCATTTCGTTGGCCTTTCTTGATTCAAATGGCCAAGAACCAGACTGCAAATATGAACTGCATATCTGATATTGTTCATGCATATAACTGGCAAAAGGTTATAGTCATATATGAAGATGATTCTTATAGTACTGACTCAAGCATGCTAACCCTCCTTTCTGAATTCCTCTTGAAGACTAATTCCCAAATTGAGCGCAGGCTTTTCCTTCCACCATTTTCTTCTTTACCTGATCCAAAAGGGTATGTTCTTGATGAACTGATTAAGCTATTATTATCAGCACAATCTAGGGTTTTCATTGTTCTCAAAGCATCATTGCCCATGGTGACTCATTTGTTTAGAGAAGCTAAGAAACTAGGGTTCTTAGGGAAAGAATCGGCTTGGATTATCAATGAGGACATTGCTGGAATGCTGGACTTAGTCAATGAGACTGTCTTATCGTCCATGGAAGGTACTATTGGAATCAAAAGCTACTATTCTACAAGTTCACGTGCTTATACTCATTTCACAGAAAAATTTCAAAACCAGTCTCATCCCGGATTGTATGCCCTGCAAGCTTATGATAGCATGACGATCATCACAAAAGCCCTAGAGAAGATGAGTGGTACTAATAACACTTATAACTCAAGGGCTTTGTTGAACTCAATGCTATCTAGCAACTTCTCTGGTTTAACTGGTAACATAGGGTTCGACGAAGGCCATTTGTCACAGACTCCATTGTTAAGAGTGATAAATGTGGTTAACAAGAAATACACAGAACTGGACTTTTGGGTACCAAACTTGAAGTTCTTTAAATCTTTGGAAGACATAGAGAAAGGAAGTGAAGCTGCTACAAATAATCTTAGTGGTCCACTGGTTTGGCCTGGAGGTCAGAAGAATCTAAACAATAATGATGATGCTACTTTTCCAACAGGATGGACCATGCCTTCGGATGTAAGTCCTCTGAAAGTAGCAATTCCTACAAATCCTGCTTTTGAAAATTATGTGAAGGAAGAGTCTCCTGGGAAATATAGTGGCCTTTGTATTGATCTTTTTGAAACGATTCAAGAACAGATCAAACATCGGTACTCTGGTCTGCCATATAAATATTACCCCTTCGATGTATCTTATGATGTGCTTATACAGAGTGTTGCCAACGAGGTAAAGTCTCAACTTTATATTTTTTTTAATTTCCCTATATTTAACTATATATGAAATGCTAGCTAGTACATGCATATCATTTCCTACTATTAATTCAATCATTAATTAGATATACTTAGTTATGGATGTCTGAATTCAGATAATATGGCTGCCTATATTTCTTAAAATTTTTCTGTCTCATTAAACCTTTGTTTTTTTAAGGGGAAACACTCTCCTTGGACTTTTCTTCATTTTAACTAAGACCTGTTCCATATATGACGGAGGGAAAAAAATCTTCTTTGATTGCAAAATGCCAAAAATAAATATTTTGAATCATCTATAAGGGGGAAAAGATAAAATTTTGAGTAGTCGATTAGTTCACAAAACGCGCATTCATATACTTAGTTCTTTGTTTGATAGGATATATATATATATATATATATACAGTTCTTTTCTTCTTTGTTAATTTGATATGTTTCCCCCCTTAAAATTTTAATTAATTTTTTATTTGATTTTCATAAGATAACAGTATGTCATCATTCGTCAAATTCTAATTAATAACTTTTGAAAATTCTAACTTGACCCCAGTCATTATAACTCAATGATCAATATGCTTTTGAATTAGTCAATTCAGTAAATTATCTGGCTGGGAGATAGTCAATTAAGTCATGAATATGCAGAATCTTAAATTAAAGTTGAGTGCGATTAGTTGTCAATAAATATAATGGGTAAAGTGGGGAAAAAAGCTAATCCTATTGGTTTGCACTGAATTATGACAGTCCTATGATGCTGTTGTTGGAGACGTAACGATACTTGAAGGTCGATCCAAGAATGTATCTTTCACACAGCCATACACAGACTCAGGCCTTTCACTCATATTTCCAGCAGAGAGGGAAGGGACGACATTTCTGTTCGTGAAGCCATTTAGCTGGCAAATGTGGTTGGCCACTGCTGCTATCTTCTTCTACACAACGCTTGCCATCTGGCTCTTGGAGCGTCCCTTAAACCCTTACTATAAAGAAGGATCAACGAAAACTCAATTCAGCAGCACAATTTGGTTCGCCTTTTCTTCTCTATTTTTCGCTCACGGTAAGATTCAATCGCAACTGAAAAAAAAATGCAAGCTCTATGTTGATCTTACTTCTCTTCCCTATTTTGCTTTGAGTTTTATGGTATTGTTACTAAGGGTTAATTTATAATTTAAGCGTTGTTCAGTCCAAATAACTTTTAGGTTTCTATTAGATGTAAGATGAAGTCGAGCAATTAAAACATTATGATTAGTCAAAATCACAACCATATAAGTTTGTGATGAGTTGTTACAAGGACTAAGAAAAACACATCCTAAAAACTTGCTAGTTTAGGAAAAGAGCCCCATGAACTTATCTCACTTTACTTTTGAGGCTCCTTAATGTGATATTCAAAACAACGCCACTTTGTTTGAGTGCTTATGTCCCTAATAGCTATACTCTATAGTACTTTACTTAGCCTCCTACTGGCTAATAACCCTTCGGGCATCTCAATGAATGACACTAATGATAAGTATAAGTCTAAAAGAAAACTTATCCCAAAAAACTTATTGGGTAGAAGAGTTCTTGAACTTATAAAACCCAAGTCCCCACTTCACTTGTCAAACTCATAACATGAGTACATCCAGCTTAAGTGTGATTAATACAAAATTCTAGTAGTCTTGCACTATAATTTTTTCTCCTCAATGATGTTAAGGAGCATATCAAATCCTTCCCCCCTCAATCCAACCATTGGCACTTATAAGTTTTATTTCCTGAATCAAGTTTAACTGATGATTTTGTCTAAAAATGTCTACATCTATTTCCTTAATAACAATAATCAGCATCTTAATTATTATCTTTTAACTTGATGATGTTCCTCAGGGGATAAACCGCACGGGAACTCAGCAAGAGCGGTGGTTGCTGTATGGTTATTTCTGGTTTTTGTTCTGACTTCAAGCTACACTGCAAATCTGTCTTCTATGCTCACTGTAAAACGCATGAATAATGAGAGAGACATTCAGTGGCTGAAGCAAAATAAGTTAACGGTTGGCTGTGATAATAGCAGTCAATTTGTGAAGAACTACCTGCTCAATGTGTATGGATTCCCCAGAGACCAGATTAGAGATCTTGATGGTGAACCTGACTTTGTGGCCAAGTTTAAAAGCAAAGAAATTTCTGCTCTCTTTCTTGAGAGCCCATATGAGAAGGTTTTCCTAAGCAAGTATTGCAACGAATATACTGCAATTTCTGTTAGCTATAAATTTGGAGGCCTTGGCTTTGTGAGTACCTTGCAACCTTTCTTAATTTTAACTTGATTTTTGAATTTTTCATTATATTTTCATTCACACTACCAACCAAAAAAAAAAAAAAAAGCCAACATAAATGCTTTGAAAGTGGTCCGTATCTGGGCACTTCCATGTGTATTAACTGAGACTTATAGGAGCACTTCCTTGGGCTCCTACAAGAAACTCTCCAGGGGTTTTAATTAATTTTTTTTAAAAAAATAAAAATTTGTTAACCTTTTGGAATGCTTATAAATAAAATGTTCCCTTAGGTTTTGTAATTTTTTTTAAATAGAAACCTACCAATTTTTTTTTTGAAAAAAAAAATATTCCTATAAGTTAGTTCTTTTGAAGCACTTTCTTAAATAAATACTCCCATAGGTCTACCTCCATCTATTTGAGGATTTTTTTAAATATATAAGCGCTCCGAAAATGGCATTCCTATATGCCTTTTTGTAGTAGTGTCACAAAGGTAGATTTTGAATTCTGACTATAACTATATAAGCAGGTATTCCAAAGAAACTCTCCCTTGGTGAAAGACTTCTCAGAAGGAATTTTAAGGCTAGCAGAAAATGGAACTCTCAAGAGTATGGAAGACAAATGGTTGACTCCTTCCAATAATTGCTCAAGCGACTCAACGTCGTCAACTTCTGAAGTTGAAAGCCTGACCCTTGCTGACTTTTGGATTCTCTATGTGATAAGTGGTCTCACTTCCACCATCTTCTTGATCGTGGCTCTGTTGGGGACTTGCCATCATCAAGAAAGAGGAGCGGGTCAAGACATTAATGTAGAAGTTTCTGATGATAATGGTGTTTTGAACAGGACACTTGGGAGACTCGCCACAGGCATTTACAACAATATTGGCAGTTTCAATTTCAACAAAATTTAGGAAGAGCTGCAACA